TCGCCACTTATGATGCAAGTTAGATCATACAAGAATGTCTGCAAAATTCTACAAGCTCCGATATGATTCAAGTCACTTTTGGAAACTAGGCGTTKGTATATTTGTGCCGAACACTATCACACTACTTGGGAATGTTTGATTATTAAAATTTTGAAGAGCAATTCAATATTCAATAAGTGAAACATGCTTTAGTATAAACATAGCCGGATCCGTATTTAGGTGATCACGCTACTTACAAAACGCTTGAACACCTAATGTATRGAGGGGAAATTCTATACTCGGATGGTAAAGAATATTCGCCTTTTGGCACTGTAGGGTTAGTGTTTTATGGTTAAGTTCCTAAATAGCAAAAATTCTATTTCTAGGACAATGTTTTGATTAAGCAGGGGTAAGGTTTAAAGAATATTAAAAATTCTGAATCTTTGTAATGAACATTTACAATGACTAAATTAATAAAAGTAAATAGACAATAGAGAATAACTCATTTTTAACTCGGAGATTGCGTAGCAATCGTAGAGTTATTGGGAGGGCACAAGCTGTCACTCGCTCGATCGCTCGCTCGCTCGCTCGATCACTTTCCTGTAAATTCGAGCCTGCGATGTCTTTGTCAGCAGTTATTCATTTAATCATATTAATGTTTCTACTTAATTATTATTTATCATATCTAATTTTTCTTTAGTGGTTTCCCTGTGCTATATCTGATTGAATTGATTTATTTTTTGGCAAATAAAGAAATCAAAGTAATGGGTAACCTGGGATTTGAACCCGGGCCCTCTGGATTGGAAATCAAAGGCACTACCGATTAGGCCACGRYTGCTAATGTTACATGATTTCGGGTAGACTTGTGTTTTAAATGATGGGCGCTCGCCCGTGCTTGTCTAGAATTCGAAGTTAAAACTATAAGATTTTAACGAAAAAATCTGCATTCAAATGTCGTTTACATAAAATTCTATTTGTAAAGTAAATCTAATTTGAATCGTTGTATTGTTCAGTCACAAAGGAAGCATGAGGAAGACTCGCCGATCCGACATTAAATTCGTCTCGAAAATCATTTTACGTGTGTTTTATTTATCCACGTTCGTCTACAATTCAAAAAATATATTCGCTCGCTACCGTACTATTACATTGTAATATTTGATACATAGTTCATTGTGTGGTTAGACATCGATAATACTATTTTGAGCCGCTACGGAAACTGGCAAACAATAAAAGCAACGGTGCGTATAGTTGGTCGGGGATTCAATTGAACCGAATTTCAGTTGTTTAATTCACCGTTACGGAGTAAGCATTCTTAAAAGAATTGCTGGAAAAAATAATAAATAATAATAAAAAATAATAATAAAGAACAAAAAAAAAAACAAAAAAAAAACACATGATATCATTTGAGACTCGAACCGTGACCTCTTCATCTGTAAGCCTGTGTTTTAACCACTAGGCCACGATGTCAAACTTTGTACAAGTATGGCTAAGACTGGGATTTATTTCGCCGTCACTCGCCGTGCTTATCAACACAGCCGAAATATTTTAAAAGTAGTAAGATTGTAACGAAAAAATTTCATAAATCGTTTACTTAAAATTGTAATTGTTAAAGTAATTAAAATTTGATTCATCGTACATCTATCGTTCTGTATCAATCTCCGAGTTATGCCGCCATTGGCTGCTTGTTGATATTTGAAAATAAATATTGTTTTTTGTTTTTTTTTGTAGTTCTGGAGCTATATAAATGATTATAACCATTTATTATAATTTATGCAACTCAATCCAAATTTCATTAATTCAAATTATATAAATCAATATCATATTTTGGAATTACATATGAATCAGCAATACCGAATGGTTTGGTGATATGCAATGGCAAGAATGATGCAAACTCATATTGCTTGCACACAGTGATATGATCTACAAGGGGTTGGCGTATTCTAAATGCATGGTAATGTTCCCTATACTCAATTGTATCTAAACTGGCTAAACAAAAATATAATCTATCTAAATTTCCATCAACAACAATAATTTTCTTGATAATTGAAAAGCTTGGGAGAAGCTGGTAAAATCCTGAATGAATAACTGCTCCAATTTTGTACTTTGTGCCAGATACAGTCACCCAAGAATGCCTATAAGATTTAGAAATCATTAATTTATCAAACTTGKAACTAGTGCATATGGTATTAATGTTGCTAATCAATCTAGATATTGCAAATTACATCATTATATTCTTTCCCATATTTGCAATATCACTTTTAAATAAATTTAATTTAATAAATTAATTTAATTTAATAATTTAAATTTTTTATAWATTTTCTGTGGGTGAATTACCACAGCAAATTGAATTTTAGTAATTCCAACTGAAACATTATAAATAATGATTTTGATGTAATTTATATATACTGAATACCTAGGGGATAATAACTTACTCATTCAAATCTGCATTGGCATTGATGTTTGGATCTTTTATACTTAGTTCTTGAAAATACTCTGTTGTTCCTGCTTCTTTTTGTTTTCCTACATACAAATTAATATGAAGTAATATTAAATACCAAAGTATTTATAAATCAGTTAGATAATTTAAGATTTAGAAGTTTTTTTCTTTCTTAAAAGATGCTGATTGCATTCTGTTCAGAGAATGCAAAGATATGTTTTACTCAAAGACCTGTGTTCTCCTTCATTTGACATGTTTTCTCTGAATATTTAAATAGAGCCATATTTGCACAACTATTTTTCTAAAAAGTACTCGATACAAACATTTKTTTTCTACCATTTAGTATTTCCCTTCTTTTGTTTTTAAATAGAATCACACAGTTGTTATGTGGTATTGATTCAGTTGACAAATGTCTGATATATGGTTACAATGGCAAAATAATTAACCAATCAGAATATTGCAAGATATATTACTGATAACAGTGATAAATGAAAGCAGCAACATGTATGATCACTCTGACRGTGCAATTACCTGGTCCACATRCTGTACACTTATGGATATTGTGCCTTTCATAGCATTTTCCTAGCTGATGTCTCTCTGCCAAAGTCCAGMATAAGTTTGTAAAATTGCCAAGAACTGTTGCAAGCTGTTTAAAATGACGGTGTTTTGCCTCGAATCGCATGCACCAATGCGTCACCATTGGACCTAACCTGAAATGTCATATACATCATATTTTCAGCATAATGTTTTTTATGATAATAAAATATCAAAATATTTAAACTAATAAGATATAATTATTTTATACCATTATAATTGACAATGAAGAGTGTCATTTGTGTTCTTTTAATAAGGACTGACTAGAGATACAATGCTGATTATTTAAATTATATAACAGATCTCTTTGTCACAACTGTCTCTTTTCCTTGTGGTCCTGAAGCAGAGGTAGAAACAGCTACATTGTTGTTAACACTAGCTTTATACCCTCTAGTTAAAATGACCACTTAGTTAAACTTTATATAAACTTGAGCAGCTGATGTGCTTTTAATTAACATTTAGATTTGACTATACCTTATCATTGCCCTGGGGTAGTGAATAAGATAGTGCATTTTGGGGATTATTGAGCAGTTAGGATACAACAATCTGAATTGCTCATGGTGGTCTTCAATAAGTATTGCAACATGTGCAGCCTGGTTTGGACTTGTAACAGGAGYAAATATGGCATCAGTTATGTCAAGRATATTCAGGAAGAGGTTCCACTTGTCATCTGTAGGAGGGACTTTATCACCAATAATCATAGGCAAAGTTCTTGCTAAACACCACATCTGAGAGGCTAAAGTAGTATAGTAGGAAGTCATGTTATAAACTCAAATGAAATATAATTGGTACATGCATTTAGGAAAAATTCATTTTATCTCAGATTTTTAAAAACACCACAAAATAAGATACTGTCTCTCTCCTTCTCAGTATTCAAGCAAGTTCAAATAACAAAGATTATATTTGATTTATACATGTAGCATCACTACAAAATGTATTATCAACTGATCATCAAGGCAATTTAAATTTTGACTGATTGTTCTTAATTATATAATAACTCTCACCTTTCTGATGGAGGGTGTTACTATCAGAGGTCAAAGTTTTGTCTGATATTTGGGAAGGCTTATTCTTGTCATTGTAGTACCCAAAATCAAAATCCTTTAATCTTGAATTGAGGTCATRCAATTTTAGGTACTTCACTTCCAGAATCAAATATTTTAGCAGTTCCTTGCATTCATATTGCAAGCAACCCTSTAATACGTCGTGCATGGCATCGCCTGGCAATCCTCCAATAACATGGAAATATCTTGATTGACATAGGCCAGATGAAAATTTGACACCATATGTGGATGACAAAGTTGGATCTGCTTCGACCTCAACACACTGATTATCATACCTATCCTTTGTTCTGAGGGTGAACATGAAATATTTGAACATGATATGTGAACATGAAATATTTAAGAGAATTACTATATATAAATGTACATGAGTAACTGATATACTCAACACATATTTGCTGTACCTCCTGGTTTTAAACCCRTATTACCCAGTCCGTCAGACTCAACGTCAGTTTTGGTTTGGCTGAACGCAGGCTAAACATTACACAATCAGTGCAAAACTCTCTTTTTAAGTACTCACCATAGTTTTGGTTTCAATTTTTTCACCTTCACATTCTCTGCACAATTTATTGGACCCTGGTCCAACTGTAAATCCTCCAATCTCCTGCGAAGCAAGGTTATCACCTGATACAAAAGCTATTGTGCCAGTAAATGACCTAACTGCCCCATTTATTTTGAACTCATAGCCACCATCCTTCTCAAGCTCTGCAATCTCTTCCATTATTGGCTCCATGATAGCATTCATACCATATTTAGTAATGAATATTCTTTTAACTAAGACTGCAAGCTGTATTGCTTTCAGCTGGGAACGGTGAATTGGTCTGATGTTTCCAAGTGTGTAATAAAATATACCTGCAAGGTATAATTATATAATACAAAAATCTCAATAGAATTTAAAAAAATGTAATCTATTTATTTGAAGAAAGTGATAAATTTTGCAAATAAAATGTTATCCATGACTATATTACAATTCTTGAAGTTTGAAGTTTATGACAAACAAGAATTGTAATCTATAAAACCAAATCATTATATATAGTGACAACACTGTTGGTGATATGTCTGTAGGTACTATTTGTGGTTGATTCTCTTTTTTGGATTTTCATTCGAGCCTTGAATAAGTTTCACAGCTATATGCACTTTTACGGATAACATATATAATACAGCAATAATGTCACAACTGTTATAAAATACAATTAAAAAGGTTATGGGCCCTACTATGTAAATTATCTRATTTATCTTGTTTGTACACATAACATTGAACAGTACATCAAAGAAAGCTTATTATTGTTAGTACCTTGCTTGTGCTTTTTGGTTTTACTTCCAAGTGGATTTACCACTTCAACATCATCATAATACATCAGTATTTGTAAAGCTGAGTGATCATTTCCAAATAGTGGATGATTTTTGAAGGCTACACTGTCACAGTAGTCATATATTCTACCATCACCAGTTGTGTTATTATGGGGATTCTCAACCTGAAATTAGAGATATTATTTTATACTTTGAACCTTTTAAGCTGGTTTAATAAAGAATGGAGCATGCCAACACTTCATGTAAGATATAAACAATTTAACTAAGCCATAGGAGTTTTCTGTCCAAATAGGAATAGGAGTAGGTTTATGAGATATTATCTAGTAGTCCACTTGACCTYAATTGTTTTATACTTAAAAGTATACATTACATGATCAGTACCTCATATAGAATAGTGGGATCATTTAACATCTGTTCAATATTTTCAAGTAGTGGTACAATAACCATTTCATCATGATTGGCCTTTCTCTTCAGACGGACTCCTGTCCTTTGTTGAACATAGTTCTGGCCCAAGGAATAACACTGTGGTTCCTTTGAGTTTAAAAGAAAAGAATAACTGTACAAAAATGGTTGTCATTGAAAGTTTAAAAAAATGTTACATTTATATAGCTASTGCATTCTATAGGGAAGCATGCATGAGTCACAAAAACTTCATCCAATATCAATTATCATTACAATTGTATGTATCTACAATCAAATGCAATATCAATTACTATAAGCACGTTACACTCATTATTGTAATAAATGGTCAAGTATTCAAGCTTTAGGTAATTGGGGAGGATTTGGATAAAAAAATGGAATAGGCAATTAGAAAATTATTATAAACAATCACTGATGACACCTACCACAAGGTTGAAATGTTCTCTATAATAACTCATTTGTTGATATTTTCCTTGAAGTAGAGAGAAGGGTCTATTTGCCACATGAGAATCATCTGATAACAGTTCTTGCAATCCTGGTACGTCGTCGCAATTAATACCAGRGCTGCTCAACTTGTTTTRGATTGCTTTYCTGAAGTTTTCTAATGYGCACTTTACAATATGATCTGTGTCAGTGACTACAGAATCTATCGCTTTCTGAGTTAAATTGTGAGTTTCCTTCATTTTCAAAAGAAATAAAGCATTTTGCTTTGTGAGTTCTTCAAGTTCGTCAGTCTCTGAATCCGAATTGGCATTACTTTGATTATCAACATACATTTGATCGTTGCTGCTATCATSGTTGTCGCTGTCACTTGCCAAGGCCGCTAAGTGATTTTCATTTTGAGCTACGRTCATCACATCCTCGGCTAAACAGTGTAAATCATAGTCCTTGTGATGACGACGAATATGACTCTTCAATCCTTCGAATGATTTAAATGTCGTACTACAATCTTGAATTCCACATGTGACGTGAAAGTTCGGATCGTGGCYGTGCACTCGACTGTAATGATTTAAAATTAACGCCCGAGAATTTGCTTGAAACGGAACATCATTATGACCAGTACACAGCTGACAACGGTATGGCATTTTAAATCGCCCTTTACCGATAAACAACAATCATTATGAATATATTTCTCTCTGTGTTTGTGTTCTTTAAATTTACTGTGATTCCCGCGTGAAATTCGATGCCCCAATCTGTCGTCCTTCTTGTTGCCCTTATATGGTAAAATTACCCATAACTCCCTTCAAGTATATTAAGAGCACGCGCTGCGCATTGCCGCTCTTTTCGATTTTTGTCGGTTACTTGTCTACGTGTTATTACAAATGAAAGAAAAATGTCTTCGATCTCGAAGAATTCGTTGGTTAGTGATGTTGTAGAGTGGCTAAAAGAAAGAAATTTTGATGATACGACTGCTTCAAAGTTCGAAGGTAAGAAAATCCATGTKAGCTGTCTTAGTAAGTTATAAACTTAACCTCAATTAATAAGTCTTAATGGACGAAAAAAAAACTTACTAGTAAAGCGTGGCACACATGCATGTTTGAACATTTATTGATTGTCCTGATTTGCTATCTGTAGATGAACAAATCGACGGAGAAGAGTTCTTCCAATTAGAGTGGTGGATGGTGAAGGATCTTGTGAAAGGAATTAAAAACCAGAAGAGATTTCATTCTTCGTGGACTGAACAGACCGGATTGGTAGGTTTAATAATACTTTATAGGTAGATTTTGAGTTTCATCCCGTCGCATTAAGCTCAATGAACGCAGCTTCAGTCTTATCGATCTGTAGGCTACTCTCTCCGCACTTGATTGATTTTTTTGAATCGTGGATGGCAAAGATTTGTTGCGATTGAGTCGACCATGTGCTTGGACCATCTACAAGTTCTTGTTGAAGTTGTTGACATGGTACACTCCTCCCCCTGCTTTTATAGTTACAATCCACATTCTATAACAAGACGCTAAGATATTTCATAGCTATTTTACAAAGGGATTGTGTAATCAATTATTTCTTTTATCATTYAAGGTATTCGATAGTAATGGGAACCCAAAGAAAGCCGAAGATCACCAAAGGCAAGAAAATCCTACAACTATACTTGTAGAGAGTGCTGCTGATCCTCCACTGCCAACTATTGAACTGGTGCCAGAGACACCAGAAACTCCAGCTGGTGCTCTAAATCCTGACGAAGATGATGTAAGCTTTAATTTTAAGATCAATAGTTTATTGTAGGTAGATTTTTAGTTAAATTTAGGAAAACTTCTTCTCAAACACTGAAACGCTTGTTACTTGAAACACCATGTGTTAAACTGCATGTGGAAAGAGAACTAGTATATCATGTATAATAAAGATAGTAAGAAAATGTTTATACTTTGTTGTAAATATAGAGTCCCAGTTCTAGTGGAAGAAAACTGAAGAGAGGAAGAGCTGCAGAGAAAAATGTCCATCCGGCTTGGGCAGACAARTTCAAGATTCCATCAAAGGTTAGCAGTTTGATAAAACATTATTTTATAGTTATCATYTTGATACTTTCATTCTATATGGTACAGAAAGTTGATCCATTATAATCTTGTTTCTTCTAGTTCTCTGTAAATGTTGAGACTGGCATAAAAAACAAACGTTTCAACAACTGCCAAAGAAACGAATTTGTGAAGGACATATGTACGCTGATTTCTCTGGAAACAACATATCCTACAGAAGCTGAAAGAGTTGTAATTMCCAAAAAGATTGTGTTGGCCTACCCATTCCTAAAGGACCAAAAAARGCTTRCTTCCTCCACTGAATGGGTAAACAAAGTGTATTGATTTATTTTTAGATAGTAGCAGAGATTAAAAAATATACTAGGTAGTGGGTTAAATAGGAGTTAAATATCAGAATTGATGACTATTCGAAAAGGCTAATTATAAATGCATTGAAATAAAATAATATCTTTGGTACATTGTTGGGATTCTCTATCCTTTTTTAATTATGGTATGACATTTGAATATTGATCTGTTGAATATTCTTTATCATTATYTATTTTCAGGGCTCTTGGGAGCAAAAAATAAAGCATAGGATGAAGAGGTTACAACGATCCCCAGCAAGAAGAGGACTCTCAAAAACGATGGGTACCTCTGGAGGTTCAAGTGGTAGTGCTCCTCCAAAAAAACAGCAAAAAAGGGATCAAATATGGAATTCGATTCCTGAGATTCCAGAAGATGAAACAGAAGACAGTTTGTTTGAAAAAGCCAAAKAGTTAAAAAGGCTATTTAGGAGCAGTCGTCCTGACCATAGTGAAGCACAAAAACTAATGGAGACAKCATATCCTCTAAGAAGAAAGCTAATAATGGAACAGACACCTGTAAAGACAATCATGAAAGACTATCCACCATTAAAATCATCAGCACATGTAAGTGCTTCAAGTTTTGTATTTGTATAGAGGCTAATTTACACGGTATGATTGTCGCATGCAACTTGTAGTATACGATTTTGCTACTACAAATCGTAGGTTGCGTACGACTGTTGTAGTCAAGTCGTAGGGGCATGTACATGGTGCGATTTCCAGCTCGTTTGAGTCATATGACCAACATTACTATGAACTACTGAACAACTATATTCAGTTGAATATTGAGATCATCATTTTAGATAAAGCTTGAGATGTGCAGGATAATAGCTGATGATTGTGTGACCCGKTATATGAAAGCAAGTTTGACAGACAATTGGATACCCAGGATTTATAAATACTGTTGTGAAATGGGACATAACAAAAACCTTTTAAATGAAATGGAGACAGCAATATCTTTGGGAAATTTGACTGAAAAAGGTAAAACTATATTTATCAAATGTTTACTCATCCTTGGGTAGCTCTGAAAGGCCAAACAGGTTATAAAAAACATTCTGTATTAATTTAAGGATATTTATGTGCTTGATAAATGTCTATTATTATTAATAGTAATTAATTGTAAGTTTTTCCTTTTTCTTTTTAGAATGTCATGAAAGAGTTTCCCTGTTCATTCTGGCTAATCAGCTTCTAAAGAAAGGAGGAGGGAGGAAAGGGAGCTCCCATGAAGCAATTTTAAAACTTGTTAAGGTAAAATGATAAAATGTTTGTCCATTATTTACAAGATAAATTCCAATGTCTGTGTTTGTAAGATTCACATATGTGTTAAAATTTGATTAAAAAATTTAGCATGCAACAAAAAAAGCACATGCACATATGTTCTGAAGAACAATCAAAAGTCAAACTGTCTATATATAATACCTAAACATTAAATAAATATATTTTTACTTATTTTTTCCAGACAGGTAAAAGTATGACTGACGCCATCAAGGAGACAATAACACCTGCCATTTTAATGGCAGGTGATGACATTTTTTCATTGGATGTCATTAGTGTGGTCACCGAACAAGAAGTGATATGTGAACTTTCCAGAGATGGACGACTGGCGGAGSCAGTGATTGTATTGCTGTGTGTCTATTTTGTTTTTAATTTAGACTATTCTTCTCAAAGAAACTTGATGATTTTTTTTCAGAGCATAATGCTACCATCTATTGATGTTCAGCTGCCATTGACTTTGTCGCAACMTTTTTATGATTTGCAGCATATTGAAATGTAAGTCAAGAATTTTCTCTAATTATAGTTTTTCAATCCTTCTCAGTGACAACGAAATAGAGTAACCACATCATTCATGCTATAAAGAGACATTGCAGAAATCAGTACTTGTRATGTTCAAAACTGTCTAAGTTAAAAGAAGAACAATGTTCTTTATAATTTTACATTTGGTTACTCTATTGCCATTTCTTTATGCATAATTAAGGAAACCTGAACTTTTWGCAATATTGATCTTTGAAAGATTTGATATTTTGTATCAGTAAGTGTACATTTATATCTGGGGAATTACATGAAACATCAACAACTGACAAACAGTTGTAAGTTCTACTATTTTGCTCAGTTCAGTGAATTCAAGATGTTTTGGTTTTTTACTAATTAACTCCAGTTTTCTAAAAAAATATACATTTTTAGGTGAATTAGATGAGTTAGTTCATCCTCCACCCTTTGTTAATGTTCAGAGTCAAACTCATATTCCATTATATAATCTTGAAAGAAAAAATAAGATGCATAATTTATTATCAATTTTTGAATTTAARAAGATTTTTATATTTAAGTAATTTTTTTACATTTTATTGAGATGTATGCATGATAACTATATATGAAGTTTACTTGTAAATCTTTTAAATTATTTATTATATTTTTATAATTTTCATAATAAACATGTTAGCAAACTGTAATGTGTCAAACCAACTTTGCGTGTGTGTGTGGGGGGGGGGAATTATTACTCTTAGAAGAGTCAAAACGATTCTTTTTGGTGTCGGGGTCATTACTCCTATAAGAGTCAAAACGACTCTTTTTGGTGTGGGGATGTTCCTCTTAGAAGAGTCAAAATGATTCTCTTTGGTGCCGAGATGTTACTCTTAGAAGAGTCTAAACGACTCCTTTTGGTGTCGGGGTCATTACTCTTAGAAGAGTCAAAACGACTCCTTTTGGTGTCGAGGTCATTACTCTTAGAAGAGTCAAAACGACTCTTTTTGGTGTCGGGGTCATTACTCCTGGAAGAGTCAAAATGATTCTTTTTGGTGTCGGGGTCATTACTCCTGGAAGAGTCAAAACGACTCTTTTTGGTGTCTGGGTCATCACTCCTGGAAGAGTCAAAACGACTCTTTTTGGTGTTATGGTTCATTACTCTTAGAAGAGTCAAAACGACTCTTTTTGGTGTCTGGATATTACTCTTAGAAGAGTCAAAACGACTCTTTGGAAAGGAGTTAAAAGGACCCTTCGAAGAGTCGTATTAGGGAAAGAGTCATTGTAACCCCTTCAAAGGTGTCGTTTTGGGGTAAAAAAAACGACTCTTTTTAAGGGGTAACAACGACTCTTATGTTTTTACAGTGTAGAGAAACAAAAACAACGGCAGTCTCCCTTCTAATAAGAAGGTCTTTCAATATTTTCTTAGGATATGGAAGACGATTAAACAAAGATAACTACACAAGTACAAAAGCAGAAGATCTGATATTGGTGGTGAAAATTCATTCAATAATGCCCATCTTGATTTTGAATTCTTTACACGCAGATTTTGAGAATGATGTTGCTCTGATTTCTGCTTCATATTTATAGGCATTGCATATTTTTGAAAAAACCTCTCTTTTCAATTCTCTTTTCAATTCTTTTGCTTAAGCATTTATTTGAACAGCAAAAAGAAGGCGAGTAGAAGGTATTATTTCAAGTAAATAGTTTATTTCCTTTTGTCTCGAAGAGGCGTTTTGATTTTTTCAATAGCCTTATTCATTCAAGAACTTCTAAGAYCCTTTTTTATTCTTTTACATTCAGTCGTTAAAAACTAGTTAAAAAGTTCTGAAAATAGCTATAAAAGTTTACATTCAAAATTAGACTTCAAAACCATTGCTCTGGTTCTCTATATTCTTCTTCTTCTTGTACTTTTTCTCTTAATCGATTCTTTATTACTTCTCTTTTGAATTGTTCGTCATTATCTTCCGGCTTGTCATCATAATTTGGCGGTCTTGGATAATTTTCTTCTTCTTTCTCAATTTTCCAGAAACCAGAGTTTGTTTGAGTTTTTGCTACTGGGTAGCACGTTTTTATACAGGATTGTGGGTGGACACTAAACCACGACTTGCCGATAACAGAAACTTTCAAGGACCACGTCTTGTTCACACATTTTGGACCACAAACGCATGCTGATTCTATATTTCAAATAGCGCCAGAAATGATGTGGCAGCTGGCAAAAGAAACCCTACAAGAAGGAAGAAACGATTCGGGTTGTGTTGGTGTTCAGCTCGATAGAGAAACAAAAACAACGGCAGTCTCCCTTCTAATAAGAAAGTCTTTCGATATTTTCTTAGGATATGGAAGACGATTAAACAAAGATAACTACACAAGTACAAAAGCAGAAGATCTGATATTGGTGGTGAAAATTCATTCAATAATGCCCATCTTGATTTTGAATTCTTTACACGCAGATTTTGAGAATGATGTTGCTCTGATTTCTGCTTCA